CTGGACTCTTCCGGTGAGAATTACTTTGGAGTTATAAGAAATACAGATAAACTAATCATATAGTGTTTTGTAGCTTGATAAACACATAATTTAATTGGACCAAATTGAATTGATATATTATTATTATATTTAAATAAATAAGCATAAATACATTATTTAATTAATTATATTAACAATGATCACGCTGCAGCTTCTGGGATGTAGTGACCGGTTTGAAATATGTCGGTTACCTGAAGCCAAAAATCCGGGACATAATATTGGAGAGTCCCAGCATTGCTCACTACGAGAAAGTTAACCAATTATGCAAACTGCCCGATGACACCATGGTCAAATATTGCGAATTAACTAATGCTAAATTGAAAGAGACAAAAGCACTACGTGACAGATTTCTTGGTTACCTGAACGAGGCTAGCAAGCAAACAAAAATTAATTTAGGCCAAGTACTATGGTAGGTAAACCCTCGATTACCGTTAAGTTTAGGGGTCATAATATTGTATGTAGCTTGACATAGGTAGATCCAGTAGATCTATCTGATTTATTATCTCTAGTTAAAATGGCCAAAAGACCAACGAGTTAAGGCTAGTTTTCTAAACAAACGTATAGTTTCTAGTTTATTGAAATGAGGTGTTTCACACAAAACATGAGTAATCAATCAAATCTAATGCAATAAACTCTATACATTTAATTAGAAAACTGAGCATACCTTGGTGGTCTCTGACCATTTGCAAATTTTAACAACAAATAATAAATTATTTGTATTTACTGGATCAGATCAGGTTAAAATAATCGTTAATTACAATGTTGCATAAACTATTTCCCAATTTTGTGAATCAAATCGGAAATATAAAAAATTTTGTGTATAATATTTAATAGAATAGTAGTTTAATATTAATGAATTTATTATACATGTATTTTAAGTTTAGTGTTTACATTAAGTTTATTTAGAAACTTTAAATTAGAATTGTTAAAAAAAACATTTGACAATGTTACATAAAATTAATTTGTAATTAAAGTTTGTAATTGACAAAATTAAATAATTAAAACAATATTTGTTAAACACATCCCACAGCATTACGCGTGACTTTTGGACAAATGTAATAAACATGCACGATGACCAGGATGGTTTTAGAGAGTTTTCCCGCAACCACACATCGGTATTCACATCAATCGTGACCAGAGCTGAGAGAGTTCTCGGTGTGAAAGCGGATACCAAGTGCGAACTCGGCGACAAATACCCCGATCCTAAATACAAATCATCAAGCTTAGCGCTTATTAAACTATTTGAAAAATGCTTAAATACTGAAGTATGATCAATTTTACATTATATTAAAATGTAATTATGTTAAATGGGTTGGCACTATACTGCACCCCCACTGCACCACTGCACCCCTGCACCCCTAAATTTGGGTAAGTATGTATAAGTGGGGGCCTGCACCCCTATGACTGCACCCCCTATGACTGCACCCCCTATAATTACGTCATAAAATAATGCAGAATATATTTACAAACAGAAAATAATTCTATTAAATGAAAACAAAAATATGTCCAATAATAACAAACAATATTATAATATAAATAATTTAATTAATAATATAGAGTTATAATTTATAATTATAAATATCAAAATGATCTATAATTTAAAAAGATTAGTTTACAACTTGTATTTATAGCTTGCTAATTCAGTATTATGATTTTGATAATTATACTTTAATGTGTACATTTTTATTTATATTTGCAATTTAATCTGGTTAATTAATTAAACTTATGATAATGTATATATTGCATTATATATTACAATATTTTTTGCAGTCATGGGGTGCAGTCATGGGGGGTGCAGTCATGGGGGTGCAGTCATAGGGGTGCAGGCCCCCAGTTATACATACTTACCCAAATTTAGGGGTGCAAGGGTGCAGTGGGGGTGCAGTATAGTGCCAACCTGTTAAATGTTATATTAAATGTTTTATAAAATAAATTATTTTTATTTAATAATCATAAATTAATTTTTAAATAATAATACTTTTATAATTTCAGTTTATTAAATTAAAATAAACTTGCTTTTTAATTTTTAAATGAATTAAATTAATTAGGTATTAAATAAGAGTCATTTAAAAGTTAAAACTTTACATATATAAGTTGTTACAATTATATCTTACAGCAATTATAAAGTAGATTTGTTGCTAATTTAATAATGAATAAATCAATAATAATGTTTAAATTTATAATAATTAATTTGTTTAAGTTATTTATTTTCTTAAACTTAATTTTTAAAATTGATTGTATTTTTGTTAACCCAATAGTAGCAAATTAAAAAGTATTTAAATTTTCTAATTGAGTTTTTTTTAAAAAATTGTGGTAAATTAATTTTGTTCATAGTAAATTATTTATTAAATGTTATAACTTTTGTTTTAATTGAAAAGAGAAATTAGTTTCAAATATAAATTTAATTATTTAATGTAATTTTTATAAAATGATATTTACGTATATAACTACTCTATCTAAAAAAGGACTATGCTTTGAAAGGTCAAAAAGGTTATAACCAATAAAAAGGTTATGGTAACCAATGCTCATATGTATGCAGTTCAAGGCAAAGGTGCGATAAATAATTACGCACTTTATGAAATTTGATCAATGTTATAATATACAGCTGGTATCAAACACTACATTTAGTTTTGAGTTAGTCTTATTAAGTCTCAACAGTTTTGAAATAAATTAATTTTTATCGCCATTATAATTAAATCAGTGATGATGAAGTCATTTATTGTGTTGACAGTAATTGGTATGTTTATTTTTTACACATATTCTTATTAATTAAATAATGTCCTATATGTAAAATAACAATAATTTTTATTGGTGTGTGAGAGAATATTAATGTGCATGATAATTAATATTATATTAATTATATTAATAATATATACGTTAATTTAATTACTCTCAAAATTACTTAGGTGTGACATATTGTGGATACGATGCTGAGGAGGCTTATTATGATAATATGCTTCCCACTTATGAGAGATACGGCAATGGCGTTGAATGTCCCGCAAATGTGGACTTACTTAAGGACATATGCAGGGAACTGGGCACTACTGATAATCTATCAGGTAGATTGTAAGTACATTAAATTGAAATAAACCTGTTTAATTAAATATGGCTACTAATGGATACTCATAGTCTATACTGATATTTTAAGGCCTTAAAGTAGAAAACAATTGCTTTGTAATTTATACTCTATTTAAGTGCTACCCATGTATATCAAACGAGGGGTTTAAACATATTACTAATTTTATTTTAGTCATTATAATTTTAATCTCATTTTTACGATTCATACCCTTAGCGAAGCAATGATCTCATATAACGACAAATTAACAAGCTGTTTAGTTTGTAGAGCATCAAATTAAAAGGATATTCTATTACTATAATAAAATAAATAATCCTAAACATACAACTTAATTAATTATATTCATAATGACCATCACTCTACAGCTTTTGGGATGTAGTGACCGGGTTGAAATATCTCGGTTACCTGAAGCCACAAATCCGGGACATAATACTGGAGAGTCCCAGCATTGCTTATTACGAGAGGGTTAACCTATTTTGCAAACAGCCCGATGACACCATGGTCAAATACTGCGCATTAACCAACGCTAAATTAAATGAAACGAAAAACCTATATCACCGATTTACTGGTTACCTCGAGGATGCTACCAAGCAAACAAAAATTAACTTGAGCCAAGTACTATGGTAGGTTACAACAAGTTGCATTGTAACGTAATTTTTAATTATTAAAATTAAATAGTTAAAATATTTGTTAAACACATCCCACAGCATAAAGCGTAACTTCTGGGTGAATGTAATAGACATGCACGATGACCAGGATGGTTTCAGAGAATTTGCCCGCAACCATACATCGGTATTCGCGTCAATTGTGACCAGAGCTGAGAAAGTTCTCGGTGTAAAAGCGGATACCAAGTGCGAACTCGGCGACAAATACCCCGATCCTAAATACAAATCGCATAACTTAGCGCTTATTAAATTATTTGAAAAATATTTGAATAAGGAAATATAATCAAGTTTACAGTAATTATAATCAGTTGTTATGTTGTGTAGAAATTTTTATATTTAAAAATTATATTTATTTTAATATGAAACTTGAATTATAATTTTTAACCACTATTCTGATATGAATAATGTGGTTTATAGGATCGTTATAAGTCTATGGAC